TCTTGTGCCTGTCTTGCCTCACTTGCTCTCCTCTTGACCTTGCTTGTAACTTCGCATATATATACTCTTGCTCTTGTATATCTCTATATATGATCTTGCATGTGAACTGGCCTTGTGGCCTTTGAACTTGTGCTCGGAATGCGTGGTGACTTTGTGATCCACCCTGAGCTTTGCTTTGCTTTGCTTGACTGGTCTTGTGACCCCTTGTTCTCCCCCACTTTGCCTATGGGGGTGTGTCAGAACATATAGCTTACTTGTTTGTGTAGGCTATAGTGGGGTATCCCATAGGGGGTACAACACATTAGGGTTTCCTATTTGTATTCACTTCACTTCATAGTTATTCATCCTCGTTCTTTGTTTCCACACCCTGCACTAACCCGAACCTGGAGCAGCCGCCACTACAGCAGCCGCCCCTGGAGCAGCCGCCACTGCAGCAGCCGCCCCTGGAGCAGCCTCCTCTGCAGCAGCCGCCCCTGGAGCAGCCGCCCTTGAAGCAGCCGCCCCTGGAGCAGCCGCCCCTGAAGTAGCCGCCCCTGGAGCAGCCGCCACTGCAGCAGCCGCCCCTGGAGAAGCCACCCCTGTAGCAACCGCCCCTGGAGCAGCCGCCCCTGCAGCAGCCGCCCCTGGAGCAGCCGCCACTGCAGCACCCGCCCCTGGAGCAACCGCCACTCCAGCAGCCGCCCGTGGAGCAGCCGCCACTGCAGTAGCCGCCCCTGGAGCAGCCGCCCCTGCAGCAGCCCCCCCTGGAGCAGCCGCCACTGCAGGAGCCGCCCCTGGAGCAGCCTCCCCTGCAGCAGCCGCCCCTTGATCAGCCACCCCTGCAGCAGCCGCCCCTGGAGCAGCCGCCACTGCAGCAGCCGCCCCTGGAGCAGCCGCCACTGCAGCAGCCGCCCCTGGAGCAGCCGCCCCTGCAGCTGCCGCGGAGCCCTCACCCTACAGTGGTAGCGGCCTTGCCGTTGCCGCCGTCGTACGCCTGCCCTTCTCACCACTGGTGAGCACTGCCCTGCCAGTACTGTTGTTACTGCTGCTCTTGCTGCTACTGCTCTTTCTACTGCTACTGCTGCTCCTGGCGTGGCCAGATGCAGCTCCAGCGTCGTCCGCGTGAGTCCCTCACCCCCCAACAACTTCGTGAGTGGTACGCTAGTTGGGGGTATAGGGGTGGCAGCGCTGCGACTACTGCAATTGCTGTTGCGGCTACCACTGCTCCTGGCGGTGGCCAGATGCAGCTCCAGCGACGTCCGCGTGAGTCCCTCACGCCCCAGCAGCTTCGTGAGTGGTACGCTACTTGGGGTTGTCGGGTGGCCGTAGTGGGAGTCGTCCTGGAGTGAGTAGTTCGACAGCTGCTTGTAGTGGCCAGGTGCAGCTGCAGCGTCGTCTGTGCGCGGTCCTTTCGCCCCAAGAGCTTCGTGAGTGGTACGCTCAGCGTGGCGGGTCACGGGGTACTGCTCGCTGTCCGTACGTCATTCGCACTGGTGCTCGAACTGGTCAGCCTTGCGGGACGTTTGGTCACGCAAAGTCCCGCTGCTTCGCCCGTCTGAGCGACGCCTGGCGTACGGAGTTTGGCGACGCGGCTGAGCTCCCCGACTGGGTGGAGCTGCTTAGGCTGCGGGTAGATATCTATACTCTTGAATATGATGCTATCCTCACTGCCATGTATGCATTGCCTACTAGTGATGAGGGTGACTGTTACCTGTGTGTTCCGCTTGTCCCGGGCATTGAGGCTGCTGCTCTAGGTGGTGGTGAGGCTGCTGCTCTAGGTGCTAGTGCGTCTGCTGCCCCAGGTGCTGGTGAGTCTGTGTGAGGATCTAGGATCCAGCTCAGAAAAGAGAGTTTGTAATTGAATGATCACCTGGGTACAACACGAGGCTATATATAGGCTCGACACAAGGCCCCGTAACCAGGTGTTACGCGAAGGTTCCGCGGGTCGCGAAGCGTCCCGAACAGATCCTTCCCGAATTCGGTAGAATGCAATTCGGTGGCAACCGAAAAGCCAGAATTCGGTGCACGCAACCTAGCTCGGTGCTATAACTATAATAAAATATAGGAAAGTACCTAGCCTAGGTAATCAAGCAATTCATGCATGCATATAATTATCCTATGCTAGAAATAGCATAATAAACTAAAGGCAAGCAAACATAGCTGGCATAAGCCGTCGTACTCTCACACGTCCCCCCCTCAAAGCTGGGTGGCGTGAGATACACCCTGCTTGACAAGATAGTCCTTGAGAGCACGGCGTGCATTGCCCACATCAGCTTCTGCAACCCAACTGTCCTCAGTGGGGTCGTATCCCTTCCAGCGTATCAGGAACTCGAGGGTCTTGCCGCCGCGGCGCCGATGAGTGAGAACGCGCTCCACTTCGTACTCTGGTTCATCCTGTACGAGAACTGGTGGTGGTGGCGGTAGCTGCCGTCCCTGGAACTGTTGGTTGGGGTCCTTGTAGGGCTTTAGTAGCTGGACATGGAAAGCGTTGTGAAGCTTCCATGTATCTGGTAAGCGCAAGCGGAATGTAACTGGTGTCACCTGTGCCTCAACAAGAAAAGGACCACAGAAGCGAGGCCGGAGTTTGGATGGGAGGTGAGACAGGTTCAAGTTGCGCGTGTCAAGAAGCACCTGATCTCTGACTTCTACTAAGTGATCACGTCGCTGACGATCGGCATACTGCTTCTGGGAGGTCTCCATCGTGGTGAGTCGTCGCTGAGTCTTCTCCCATAGCTGCTGCATGGTGGTGACGAAGTCATGTGCCGCTTGGACGTGTGCCAGTGTGATTGGCTATTGTGGTGTGAGTGGTTCCCGTTCGAAACACAGGAAGAAAGGAGTTTTCCCTGTGGCCGCATGTGATGCGTTGTTGTAAGCGAACTCTAGGGTCGGTAACTGTGTGTCCCAGTGGCTGAAGTGGTCCTTGCAAGCTGTGCGCAGTAACTGTTCAACCACTTGATTGAGTCGCTCTGTCTGTCCGTCAGTCTGGGGGTGGTATGCTGAAGACATTGCAAGCTTTGTCCCCAACAGACCCATGAGCTCCTTCCAGAACTTACTGGTGAATTTTGGGTCTCTGTCTGAGATGAGTGTAGCGGGGATGCCGTGGATGGTGATGATGCGGTCGAAGAAGAGGCGAGCAGTTGCTTCAGCTGTAGCTGTGGCGTTGGTCGGTATGAAGTGACCCATTTTGGAGAACTTATCGATCACCACGAGGATGGAATCGTGCCCCCGTGAAGTCGAAGGAAGTCCTGTGATGAAGTCGAGGCTAACAACCTGCCATGGCTGCTCCGGTACGGGTAGAGGCTGAAGTAACCCTGCTTTTTTCTGCTTGCTGCTTTTCATCCGCTGGCACGTGTCGTATGAGGTGACGAACTGCTGCACATCTGCTGCTATCCCGGGCCAGTAGTAATACTTCGCTATCCCTGCTAACGTCTTGTTGCTCCCGAAAGGTCCTGCGTAAGGTACGTCCTGAAACTCCTCCAATATGATCTGCCGTAGCGGGGCATAATTCGGTACCCAAATCTTTCTTGAACCCTTCCTTACAGCTAAGTCTTTCTTGTCAGAACATTATAGCTCATGCATATTGTGTAGGCTATAGTGGGGTAGCCCATAAGGGGTACAACCCAATTAGGGTTAGTACTTGTACCCAATTCATTCATAGTTCATTCATTCTCGTTTCAATTTTCTCGTGGTATCGAGCAGGTTCCCTCGTGGGAACTGTTCCTAGGGCCCACCAATTCGATTTTTTTTTTCCTGCCCGGAGCGCGCTCAGCCCTAGCCCGAGTCGCGCTCCCCCTTTCTTTCTCGCCTCGTCGCGCCGCCCTAGCGGCCCTGTCGCCCGCCTTGCGGCCCTCGCGCCGCCCTTCCTTGCCCCGACCCTGCCGCCCGGCGGCCTCGTCGCCTACCTCGCGGCCATCGCGCCGCCCTTTCCCGGCCCCGATCCGCCGCCCTGCGGCCTCGTCGCCCACCCAGCGGCCCTCGCGCCGCCTTGCGGCCCTGACGCCGCCCTTACCGGCGCCTACCTGCTGGCCCCGCCACCTACCAGCGGCCCCGCCACCTACCCGCGGCCCCGCCACCTACCTGTGCGGCCCCGCCACCTACCTGCGGCCGCGCCACCTACCAACGGCCCCGCCACCTACCCGCGGCCCCGCCACCTACCTGTGCGGCCCCGCCACCTACCTGCTAGCCCCGCCACCTATCTGCTGGCCCCGCCACCTACCTGCGGCCCTGCCACCTACCAGCGACCCCGCCACCTGCCTGCGGCCCTGCAACCTACCCGCGGCCCCGCCACCTACCTGTGCGGCCCCGGCGCCTACCTGCGGCCCCGCCACCTACCTGCGGCCCCGCCACCTACCTGCGGCCCTGCCACCTATCAGCGGCCCCGCCACCTACCTGCGGCCCCGCCACCTACCTTTGCGGCCCCGCCGCCTCCTCTTAGCGGCCCCGCTCCCTCCTCCCAGCGGCCCCGGACGCCGCCCTCTCAGCGGCCCCGCCGAGCCGCCCAGCAGTCGAGCCGCCCAGCAGCCGAGCCGCCCAGCAGCCGAGCCGCCCAGCAGCCGAGCCGCCGTGCCGCCCAGCAGCCGAGCCGCCGAGCTGCCCAGCTGCCTAGCCGCCGAGTCGCCTTGCAGCTGAGCCGCCCGAGCCGCCCTGTCCGGTAAGAGCAGCGCCTCTTTCACAGCACTTCCCTCACCCTACTGTTTGCGCTGCTAGTCTACTGCAGTCATGGCTACCCCTAGTGTCCTCGCTTTTGACGCTGAGGGTCGGGCCATTGACTTTGACGTCTAGATAGATGACCAGCGGCTTTTCTTACAGTGCGATAGGGCAGACGGCCTCTCCCCCTTTGACCTCACTTCTGGTGCCTCTCCTGCCCCTGCTGCTGATGCTGACGCCACTGTTCGCTCACAGTGGGCCACGCGCGATGCTGCTGCACGTCTTGCTGTGCGTCGCCACCTGCCTACCTCTGAGCATGCGCACTTTAGCCAGTACAAGAGTGCTCAGACCTTGTACGACGCTGTAGTTGCACGCTACTCGTCCCCTGCCACTGCTGCACCCCGACCAGCTCCGCCTCCTCCGCCGCCGCCTCCTCCTCCGCCGCCACCTCCGCCACCTCCGCCCCCACCGCCACCGCCGCCTCCACCTCCGCCTCCACTGCCGCCACTGGCACCTCCACCCCCGCCACCATTCCCACCACCACCCCCACTCCCTCCACTGCCGCCACCGCCACCTCCGCCACCCCCGCCAGCCCCTCCAGCGCCCTTGCCCCCCTTGCCCTTGCCTGTGCGGTGTCTCCCGCTCGGGGCAGACGCAGCGCCGACCGACTCGAAACCAACGAGGTCGGCCGCAGCAGCAGAGGCAACAGAGGACAAAAGGGGGGAGGGAGAACACCCCTCAAAGACGAGGGTGCGAGGGCCACCACGAGAGGCTCCTACAGTGACTATGCTCTTCTCTGCCGCTAGGAGGGCCTTCTCGAGGAGGTCAACGGTGAGAGTGGTGGGGCAAAGTGAGAGGAAGTGGTCCCTGACTACGCGGAGAGAGTCAGGGAGCCGGGTGACTATATAGTAGAGGGTGAAGTACATGGGGGGGGGGTTCTTGGCGCAGAACCCAGCAGGAAGTGCAGCGCGGTAGCGAGTGTCACTAGTGCGGAGGTGCGTAATGAGGTCAGTGACTGTGGGAAAGGCAGCAAGGTCAGGGAAGAGGTACGGTAGTATGAGGCGGCTCAGTGCAGCAGTGGCAGGGGAGGAGTAGCGTGCAACTACAGCGCCGTACAAGGTCTGAGCACTCTTGTACTGGCTAAAGTGCGCACGCTCAGAGGTAGGCAGGTGGTGACGCACAGCAAGACGTGCAGCAGCATCGCGTGTGGCCCACTGTGAGCGAACAATGGCGTCAGCATCAGCAGCAGGGGCAGGAGACGCACCAGAAGTGAGGTCAAAGAGGGAGAGACCGTCTGCCCTATCGCATTGTAGGAAAAGCTGCAGGTCATCTACCCAGACGTCAAAGTCAATGGCCCGACCCTCAGCGTCAAAAACGAGGACACTAGGGGTAGCCATGACAGCAGTAGACTAGCAGCGCGAACAGTAGGGTAACGGCAGTGCAGTGATAGAGGCGCTGCTCTTACCGGACAGGGCGGCTCGGGCGGCTCGGGGACTTGGCGGCTCGGCAGGAAATGCAGCTCGGCGACTCGGCGGCTCTGGCGGCTCGGGCGACTCGGCGGTACTGCGGCTCGGCAGCATCTGCGGCTCAGCGACTCGGCGGCTCTGGGGGCTCGGGCGGCTCGGCGGTACGGCGGCTCGGCAGCTCGGCGACCCGGCGGCTCGGGCGGCTCAGGTGGGGCGGCGGCTCGGGCGGCTCGGGTGGCTCGGGCGGCTCGGCAGTAGCTCGGCGGCGCCGGCGGCTCGGTGGTGACGGTGGGGCCGCGTGGGGACAGCGGCGGGGCCGGTAGAGGCGGCGACGGGGCCGGGAAGGGTAGCGCCGGGGCGGCAAGGTAGGCGACGGGGCCAGCAGAGGCGGCGCCGGGGCTAGGAAGGGCGGCGGCGGGGCCGGGAAGGGCGGCGGCGGGGCCGCAGGGTAGGCGACGGGGCCAGCAGAGGCGGCGCCGGGGCCGGGAAGGGCGGCGCCGGGGCCGCAGGGTAGGCGACGGGGCCAGCAGAGGCGGCGCCGGGGCCAGGAAGGGTGGCGCCGGGGCCGGGAAGGGCGGCGCCGGGGCCGCAGGGTAGGGGACGGGGCCAGCAGAGGCGGCGCCGGGGACAGGAAGGGCGGCGCCGGGGCCGGGAAGGGCGGCGCCGGGGCCGCAGGGGTAGGCGACGGGGCCGGCAGAGGCGGCGCCGGGGCCGGGAAGGGCGGCGCAAACGGGCCGCGAGGGCGGCGCGACGCAACGGAGCCGCGAGGGCGGCGGATCGGGGCCGCGAGGGCGGCGCGACGTGACGGGGCCACGAGGGCGACGCGACGGGGCCGCTTAGGTGGCGCGACAGGGTCGAAAGAGGGGAGCGCGACTCGGGCAGAGTAGAGCGCGCTCCGGGTAGGAAAAAAAAGGTGGTGGGCCCTAGGAACAGTTCCCACAGGGGAACCTGCTCGATACCATGAGAAAATGAACGAGAATGAATTGACTAAGGGAAAGTTGGGTACAAGTACAAACCCTAGAAAGTCGTACCCCATATGTGCTACCCCACTATAGCCTACAACAGCTATGTCATATAAATCTAACACTTTCCACTTCTTGACGGCTTCGATCTTCCGCGGGTCCACGTGTACGCCCTTGGCACTCACCATGTGCCCAAGAAACTGCACCTTCTTCAGGGCGAAGTCGCTCTTCGACAGCTTCACGTAGAACTTGTTTTTTCGCAGGATCTCGAACACCTTCCGTAGATGCTCCACGTGCTCCTTCATGTTCTTGGATTCGATAAGAATGTCGTCCAGGTACACCACTACGCACTCGTCCAGTAGGGGTCGTAAGATGTGATTCATCTCCGCCTGAAACGTTGCTGGTGCGTTGCAGAGTCTGAACGGCATCACCAAGTATTCGTAGGAGCCGTATCTAGTACAGAACGCCGTCTTGTGGACTGAGTTGTCTGCCATCTTGATCTGCCAGTAACCCGACCGTAGGTCCAGCTTCGAGAAGACTGTTGCTCCACGCAGTTGATCGAGTAGGTCGTCTATGCGCGGTATGGGATATTTGTTTTTGACTGTCTGTTTGTTCAGTGCGCGGTAGTCGATGCACATCTGTAGACTGCCGTCTGGTTTTGGAGTGAAGAGAACTGGTGCACCGTAGGGAGAGGTGGATGGGCGGATTAGTTGTCTGTCCAGTAGATACTCTATCTGTTTTTTCATGTCTGTCAGTTCAGTCGGACTCAGTCGGTATGGTGCACGTGAGACGGGTTTCGCGCATGGTTCGTCCACGATCTTGTGCTCGTGGGTGCGTGCTGGAGGTACGCCTGCGGGTAGGTCGTCGGGCATTATATCCTTGTACTGCGCCAACACCTCCTTTACTGCTGCAGGTAGCTCCGAACTCGGCTTCTCCTTCTCTGCTGCTGCCATAACTAGTGCTAAGTATCCCGTGTTACTCTCGTTCACAGTCCCTTCGAACCGTGCCAGTGTCGTTTCAGGAACGCTCCCTGTATCCGTCCAGCTTCTCAGCTCCACTCGTTTCCCGTTGTTGTAGATGCACGCCTTCCTGTTGACCCAGTCGATCTCGGGGTTGAACCGCTTCAGGAAATCTCGCCCCAAGATGAAATCTAAACCCTTGATGTTCGTGATCGGCAACGTCGGCTTCCACCTCAGCGCCCGTATGTGCAGCTGCAGTGATGCTTCGCCGTGGATGGGAAGTTTCGTACCGTCCACCATTGTTGCCGAGAACTTGGTCTCCTCCGAAAATTCTCCAATTTTCTCCAACGTCCCGTGGTCGCACACCGAGTGGGACGCACCACTGTCCACCAGTGCCTGGAGGCGTCGCCCGTTGCAGGTCACCTCGAGTAGTAGTGGTTGTTGCTGCTCCGAGTAAGCGTAGATGGTCTCGCTTATAGGATTGTAGGGTACGTTGAATAGATCATCCCTCGGTCCTGCGCTCGAAGCTGCTGTCTCCATATCAGTTTCCAACTGAGTAGGGTTGGAAGGATTTATCTGAGGCCGATTCAGCTTTGTCTTGGCCTGGAACCTTCCCTTAAGCCTTTGTAGTTGTGTAGGCTTCTCCTGTGGGCAATGGGGAGCCTTAACACTATGCTACGGGGAGAGAATATGAACTCCTTGGAACGCACGACCCTTTTCAACGCTCCGGAGTGGTTTGCCCAACTTCTCAGGTACCTGAATAATGTCTGAAGGCTTTTTCTTGGCCTTGAAATCTCCCCTGAATTTTTTAAAGGCTTGAAAACCTCGAGAGGGAATATTCTTACTCTCGGGGGTGTTCGGCTGGAGTTTCCCGGTCGGTGCATAGTCTTGTTTCGCGGAGCCTCCATTTGTCTCGGCGATTTCCCCTGTTGCCGGCCAATCGTGACGTTTTAAATTCGCGCCATCGTGTCCTCCTTTCTTCGCCATCGTGGATGTCGCACTGTTGTTGCCCTGCAGCTCCGCTCGTGGCTTCTTCATTTTCCAACACAACAAGAGTCGATGTCCTGCTGCGCCGCAAAATTCGCACTTCTCATATTTTGTCGGCCGCTGCTTCACGTCGATCTTGTCGATATCCATCGGGTCGGCGGTCGTGGGTGGTGCCGATCGCTTTGTGCCAAATAATCGGTTTGGCACGTGGCGTCGTGTCTCGGGTTCACATAGCATCAACGCATCGAATCTCTCTACTGCAGACACCATGTCGCTGTAGTTGTTGTAGTTCGCGGCAATCACCTATTGGCGGACTTCCATCTTTAGCCCCTCAGTATACGCATGGATTTTTTCCCTTTCGGTCAGGTCGGTAATTCGGTTGAAGAGGCTCTCTAGCTGCTGCGTGTACTGTGTTACACTGCCGAACTGTTTATGCCGATGAATCTGCTGCCGCGCCATGTAGCTGGAGTTGATTGGTTCGAAACGTTGAATTAAAGCTTCCCGAAACTACGTCCATGACCCCTCGCCTCGGATCTTATTGCTGTTGTAAATCCACTCGAGCGCTGGGCCTCGTAACAGTGTCGCTGCGAGCCGAATCCACATTGCATTGTGTGTCGGGGTCGTACAGCCAACGGCCTCGAAGTAAATTTCGAGAGTCGCAATGAATCGACGAACGTCAGTGTCTCTCGCATTCGGATTGAACGTCTCCGGTAGCCTCAAACGTGCCGCCTCAAGATTCACTGTAGCCGCTGCCGCTGCTGCAGGGTTAAGTTTCGGTGTCACGGCTGCTGCTGCTGACGTCGCTGCTACATTCGCCGCTGCGTTCGCTGCTGCTATGGCGGCTGCCGACTGGTTCGCGAGAAGCTCCTCTATTCGCTGGAGTGCCGCTCGCGTCTGGTCCAGGCCGGTGTGTAACTCCGTAATTTTCCGTACGGAATTATCACCGTTTTCCTCCATTTGGCGATTTATAAGAAGATTTGCGACAATGAATTTTAGGCGCTAGTCATCTTACTGTGAGTCGAGTTGACTGCAGAAATAACGAGGGCTGATTCTGTAGGTCGCGTTATTCTCCCTTAGTCAAAATTCGCGTCTGATCTCGGCCGTTGAGAAGAAATTCGATCCGACGCTCCAAATTCCAACGTTTTTGGGCGAAATTCACGAGGCCGTTGAGATTCGAATCGATCCAACGGTCGAAATTCCAACTTTTTCGCCACTGGACCTGAGGAGTGTTCGAAAACCGGTCCGAGGGGGGCGTTAGAAAATAGCGCGGAACTGGTTTACTACCCGAAATCGGCGCCTTCCGTCGTCGCCCCCGCGGTTTTAAAAGCTAGGTTTAAGCGGTCGAAAAACTTCGCTTTCAAACAGAAAAGAGAGTTTGTAATTGAATGACCACCTGGGTACAATACGAGGCTATATAGGCTCGACACAAAGCCCCGTAACCAGGTGGTACGCGAAGGTTCCGCGGGTCGCGAAGCGTCCCGAACAGCTCCTTCCCATATTCGGTAGAAGGCAATTCGGTGGCAACCGAAAAGCCAGAATTCGGTGCACGCAACCTAGCTCGGTGCTATAACTATAATAAAATATAGGAAAGCACCTAGCCTAGGAAATCAAGCAATTCATGCATGCATATAATTATCCTATGCTAGAAATAGCATGATAAAGTAAAGGCAAGCAAGCATAGCTGGCATAAGCCGTCTTACTCTCACATTCTGCTATCTCAGGTACCACGTCGGCTCAGGCCTTAAACACCTTCACCCTTGACTCCGGTGCTTCCCGCTCCTTCTTTCGAGACCGCACCACGCTTACGCCGCTTAGTCGGCCGATTGCGGTCTCCCTGGCGGACCCTCTGGGGGTCCTGTCCTTGCTCGCTTCTCCACTGTCTTACCGTGTCCGGCAGCCCCCTCTGGCACCCTGTCAGGTCTCTACCTCCCCTCGTTCACTACGAACTTGGTGAGTGGTGCTGATCTATAGGATGGGGGGGTTGACCAGTTCACTCCTGCAAGTCAGCGGGTGACCCACTGTACGTGTGCTCGGACGGGCCGACACTTGGCCAAGTTTACCCGTCGGCCGGGGTCGAGCCTGTACACACTGACTACTAAGTCTCCTCCGGTTGCTGAGTCTGGTCAGGTAGCTGAGTTGAGTCAGGTGTTTGCTGCAGTGTCCAAGTCTGGTCCTGAGTCTGCTCCCTGCTCGTGTCGTCTCCTGT